TGTCACCTTTCCCCTCCCCCCCGCATATATATAGAAGATATAGAAACAGCAATGTTAGTTGAAGGTCAATAAATGTTTTTGTCATTTCTGCACGTAGCATTAAGTCCAGCAAAAGAATCAAGGTACAATGTGTGTGTGTTCATTTATTCATTCAAATATTCAAATATTTATATTTCATCTTTTGTATGGAAGCTTAAGGTGATATATATATATATATATAGAGAGAGAGAGAGAGAGGGTAGTTTTCTTGTTTTAGTGCCACTACAACAGTCCCCTGACCTAGGTTGGACTGAAAAAGAGTGATGTGCCCAAAGCCACCATCTATGGTGCAGTGGGGACTTAATCTGGATCTTCTCAGTCTTAGTCTGTCAACTCTGAATTGAACCTGGCTGAAGCCATTTTATCAGAGGTGGTATTCAGCAGGTTCTGATCAGTTCTGGAGAACCAGTAACGGAAATTTTGAGTAGTTCGGAGAACCGGTAACTACCACCTCTGACTGGCCCCACCCCCATCTATTCTCTGCCTCCTGAGTCCCAGCTGATTGGGAGGAAATGGGGATTTTGCAGTATTTTTCCCCTGGAGTGGGGTGGGAATGGAGATTTTGCAATATCCTTCCCCTGCCATGCCCACCAAGCCACACCCAACAAGTCATGCCACGCCCACCAAGCTACACCCACAGAACCGGTAGTAAAAACTTTTGAATCCCACCACTGCATCTTATGCTGCTTCACAGTTGCCATGCACTATGGGGGAAGGATGAGAGGGAAATAGCTAGATCGTCTCATAGACAAAATAAAGAGCTTTCCCATGAGAACCAAGGTCATCCCAACAGGTGGCAGTTGGAGGAAGAGCAGAAGTGATTGAGGGAGCCTACCACCTGCTTTGATTGAATAATGTGACCTGTGACAACTGGGGAGAGAAACTTTTGCTCTTTTAAATACACGGTAACTGTGGGAAACTTTTTAGAGTTGGTTTTCACTAGCTGTGCTGATATGATGTGTCCAATAAACATGTTCTCTGAGGAACGTTCCTGCCTTGGAGTTCTGATTTCTTTGGATGCATTACTTGGAACAGTGACACTAACATCTTGTCTTCTGCAAGGGAGACCAATCCATTGAAAATAGGTCAACCATATGGAGCTGCTTTCCTGGAAAGGGTGTGAAGTAAAATTATGAGTAGGTAAGTGAATTCCACTGATAAAGAAAATATCCCTGAAGAAAAGCCAGTTCATGTAGGAAAGGAATAAGTAAAAGTTGATATCGACTATCCAGAGAGAAAGTGAAGGAATATTCTGTCACCTGATACTGACTACTATGATTTCATTCACTTTGATCTCTAAAAGAAGAGTGTGTTTAATTACAAACATGCTTTCTTGAACTTTGTTTTGTGTTGGTGTACGTGCTAAGTCAAGGTGAGTCACATTTCACAGTGTTCTTTGTTTATATTGATCATTTCTACATTGTGTTGGCAGACCCACATTATTTTTGTACGTTTCAGGTTTCAGTTTAATCAACACGAAAAAGAAGAACCTTCATGGCTGTTTGGAAATTTAACTCCCATAGCAACAAAAATCATACCATGAAGCTCAAAGTCACTCATTCCTCACCTAGTAACTATCATCTTCAGTCATAGTCATTAAAAATCATAGGAGCTGTATTTTGTCCCTTACAGAGAGCATCATGGGGTTTGAGAGAAACTATTCTAATGTAAAATGCCAAATGAAGAATAAAAAGCAAGACGTGGATTGTTGTGTTACAGATTTTATAAATCCCTGTCAGATTTTTGTTGTCTTCTTGTGTTTCTTCTTGTTCTGCAGCTCAGTAGATTAGATCGAGGATTTTAGGGGGAATAGTGTGTGTATGTGTGTGTGTGTGTGTGTAGCAGGGGTGAAATCCAGCAGGTTCTCACAGGTTCTGGAGAATGGGTAGTGGAAATTTTGAACAGTTCAGAGAACCGGTAGCGGAAATTTTGAGTAGTTCAGACGACCGGCAAATACCACCTCTGACTGGCCCCAGAGTGGGGTGGGAATGGAGATTTTGCAGTATCCTTTCCCTGCCACGTCCACCAAGCCACGCCCACCAAGTCACGCGCATAGAACTGGTAGTAAAAAAATTTGGATTTCACCACTGGTGTGTAGTGTATGTAAGTGTATGCATGTGTACACCCCACCAACAGAAACATAATATAATGACACTATCATCAAAGAGCAAGTTTTGAGGCTCTACCTTCTTGCCTGTTGGTAAAAGATACAGCATTGATAGGATAAACTTTCAGTAATAAAATGTCTTTGGTCTTTAAGATACCACAAATGCTTTCCTAGTTTTGCAGCAAGAGAAAATTGTTTTCTCCTTGATATATTTTGTTTCTGTGTCAATATTATTCCTTTCTATTTGCTTTCTCAATATTCTGGTTTCTGTTCAACATCTTTATCTTCAAAGATTACATGATTGATATGAATGTTGTTAAAAATATAAATTAGCAGAAAGAATTCCTCCCTGTATTTTCCAAAAGTTGTTTAGTAGCAATCGATTCATTGCCCACTGTGTAACACCAAAGAACTGCTACATTTGAAATTATATTGATTTTTGGCCTAACCCTAGACCACGGATAAAATGTATAAATAAAATAAAATAAAATAAAATAAAATAAAATAAAATAAAATAAATAAAGAAGAGTGTGAAATTCTGCTGCAAGGGAAATTTTTGTCAAAGTGTTTTCTATATTTCTCCTTTATAGTTTCAATAGGACCTTTCTTTGTAGTTTGGATGATGAGAAATTTCTCTCCTTTTCCTTTTCTTTTTCTTTTTGCTTCTGATAGCTTGTCACTTCAGTTCCAAAGCTTCTGGGAAGGGATGTAAACAGACTTTGATCTTCTCGGGAGAATGTAATATTAAAAGCAATTTAGCAGGACCATTTTGCTTCCTGCATTCCAGGATCTAACATATATAAATAATTCTAATATATACAAATAATTATGCAATAGAGCAAACTTTATTTGAGCCAGTTTGATGTAGTGGTCTAGAAACAAAAAGGCCGTGAAACCTAGGCCTCTCTTTGGCATGAAAGTCAGCTGGATGACTTTGGGCCAGTCTCTCTCCACATAACCCACTTCACAGGGTTGTTGTTGTTGTGGGTGGGGAGTATTAGGGATGTTCATGGCCTTGAGTTATATATAAAAAAGTGGGATGAAAATCTAACAACCTGTGTTGATCCTCACTTGTTCTGTTTGTGAATATTTTCCCATTTTCATTTTAGATCAGAATACCATATCACATTTTTCTTTCATTAACAGATTTTTACTATTTTTTCTTCAGTCAATCAATAACAAAAATAATACAGAATGATTAGCATTAGAATAAAATCTTAGTTTTCTCATATAGATGTTATTCTTCTGTGAAGCATAATGAGTACAAAGAACCATTTTGGGGCAGTAGTTAAGGCTCCAGGCTAGAAACTAGAGACTGTGAGTTCTAATTCCGCCTTAGTCAAGAAATCCAGTTGGATAATTTGAGACCAGTCACTTGCTCACTCCAACCCACCTCACAGGATTGTTGTTGTGGAGAAAATAGAAGCAGGAAGTCCAGAGGTGGGTTTTAGCAGGTTCTGACCAGTTCTGGAGAACTGATAGGGGAAATTTTGAGTAGTTTGGAGAACCGGTAGTAAAAATTCTGACTGGCCCCACCCCCATCTATTCTTTGCCTCCCAAGTTCCAGCTGATTTGAAAGAAATGGGGATTTTGCAGTATCCTTCCCCTGGAGTGGGGTGGGAACGGAGATTTTACAGTATTCTTCCCCTTCCATGCCCACTAAGCCATGCCACACCCATAGAACCGATAGTAAAAAATTTTGAAACCCATAACTGAGGAAGGCATATTAGATATGTCTGCCACCTTTAGTTATTTATAACAAATAAATAACTTTTTTATTTATTAAAATAATTATGGGATTAAAATAATTTTTAAAAAAGCACTTTTGAAAAACCTTTCCAATTAATCTGCAAGGACTTGTCCAGACAGTCTCCAAGAGAATGGAAGGGAAAAATGGAAGACAGTCACCACTGAATGGAAGGGGAAAAAAATGTCATGTGGCAAATAAACCCATAAAGCTCTTTGCAAACAGTAAAGCTAAATATTAAAGTTAAGACACTAGGTTAGAAACCAGGAGATTGTGAGTTCTAGTCTGTCTTAGGCACAACGTCAGTGGGGTAATCTTGGGCCAACCATTGCTCTCATCCCTAAGAAGCAGACAATGGCAAACCACTTCCAATTTTTTTCTAAGAAAGCTACAAAGAATCTAAGCAGTCACCAGGAGAAATGTAACACCATCTTTGTTGTGTACATAGAATTATTAACATTCAGTCCAAAAATAGGAATGTAGGGTATATAATAACAGAAAATACAAATAGGAGCTAAATACAGTAGTATCGTGAAGAAAATAGAAGGGAAATATGAGGTCACAAAGAGGAATTTGAATCCTAATTTGCTTGGTCTACGGTTTCTTTCGATTCATACATTTTATGATAGAAAAGAATATTAGTTCCATCCAGTCCTTACACATTGATGAGAGCAGATCTGTCTAAATACATAACAGACTAAAATCAGGGAATAAAAGTTATTCTCCCGCTCTGATAATTATACAGCTTGAAATCACCAAATTATATTGAATGGTAATTCAAGACCATATTTCTTCATGCGGCATGTAGTTCACTCTAGAATTTGCTAACCTAAAAAGATTAACTGAAACTTGTTACACAGCAGCCGATTGCCAAATGTATGGCAATAGCCACCCATTGTAAACATATGTAACAATGTCTATCTTCCAGTATCAGTGGCAGTACATCCCTGTACCAGTTGTGAGGAATACAGTGGCTGGGTGTTATTGACCCAAATTAAATAATTTAGATTGCTTAGATTCTACGCATGTTGGGGAAACAGGTCCCTGCCTATTGCAGAAAGCTATCTGTAATTAGTATATCTTCTCAATCCCATTTTATGTCTACAGATTGTTCAGGAACTACAAATATTTGTCACAGAGGCAAACCAGCTGTTATTATATCAGTTATGCTGTTTCCTTGGGTGCTCATTCTCTGTAGCTTCAGATTGCCAGGTGCTCTCTCCATGTAAAAGGTAACATGTCTTGTCTTAACTATTGGTTTGTATACACCTGTGATGGCGAACCTATGGTACACATGCCAGAGGTGGCACACAGCGCCCTCTCTGATGGCACGTGAGCTGTTACCCCAGTTCAGCTCCGCCGCGCATGTGCGCAAGCCTTCCACTGACCAGCTGGTCTTCGGGTCTCTGCCGCACATGTGTGGGGGGCAGGGCATGTGCGGGAAGGCCCCACGTGCATGCAGGGGGGGCTGCACATGCATGCATGTGGGCGGGGTTCATGCAGGGGCCCGCACATGCATGTGGGGGGCAGGGCGCGTGTGGAGGCCCATGCATGCATTGCATTTTGGGGGTTTGGGCATGCTTTGGGCACTTGGTCCAGAAAAGGTTAGCCATCACTGGTATACACCATAGCTTTATACAATTGCTTGGCAAAAGTATTTGCAGCCACCTCAGTCCAAGGAAAATTCATGTACTAACTGTAACAGTATTTTTTTTTTTGGCCATTCAGAAAGAGTTTGAGAATAAATGATATTAGATACAAAGTAGTATTACTGATGTTATATTTACTAGAAGAACTTTTGCATAGGTGCAGTGACTCACTCTCCTAGGCTGTCTTTTTCTCTATGAGAGGTCTATGAGCACATTAACCCACCAGACATGTCATGCAATATATCCTTGAAAACACACTGAGCTCTATGAATTTGTTAAGATACTTAACTGAGATATAGCCACAAACTGCCCTGAAATCCAAGGAATTAAACCGAAATACCGTTTGAGAGACTCCCAACACCAAAGGGACGAAAAGTGCCTCTTCTATATTGCATTGCATCTTCAGAAGGAAGATATTAAAAAACATGTTCATAAAAAAGACTAGGCAATGAATGTACTCTTAACCTGGAAGATAGATAGTTATTATGACAGTAATTTGTTACTAAAATAATACTAATTATCTGTATTTACATTGCAACAGAGTCTTTTGTAAGAATAAATATCCTATTTCAATTTTCTGTTTCTTTTAAATAAAATTGTACAGTTAGCTTTCTAATGTTTCAGAACCCCATGAAGGCTCTATTTTAGAAGAATAAATGAAAATAAGTGAAAGGAAACCTTGAATGGCATATAAGAGCAGCAGGAAATGGCCAAGTGAAATTATAACTGTAATGCTATGCATTCATACCTGAGCACAAAGGCAGTACAGCCCAATTAATTTCATAAATCAAATTTCCTGGTAGGGATAATTGAGATATTTAACCCTCATGCACTCTGATAAAAGCTAAAGAGTTCTATACACTCCATGTAAATAATGGATTGGAATGTAACTTCCATTCTGTTTTTATTTAAGACATTGGTGCAGTTTTCTATTCAAAATGACCTTAACACTGTACATATATTGTGAGGGGGAAATATATATATTTAACTGTGATTTTGTTTGTGTGAATATATTTTTTAAATATAAAAATAAGGCTTTTAAAGAAGGGAACAATTGGAGGAACAATTGGACTAACTGGAATTGTCTTCATTGAGAAAGAATGTGAACTGTATTGTCAACTGGTCAGAAAAAGCTGGTTGGCTTATGTTTATGTTTATATTTCATTAAAGCAGTGAAGGCTGTGACCAGGAGGCTCCCAGCTCAGTCTACCATTTTATTAATTACTGGTGGGTGATACCAATGGCTTTTCGTTTCCCCTTCTTATGATTCTTTAATATGAATTTGGACTGAACTGTCATGCAGCGGTCTAGCAATACAAACTGTCATCCTTCATAACACTTCTTATTCTTTACAATGGTTAAGCAAAAGTTTTTTAAATTGTCTGTGTTATGTTTCTAAATCCAGAATTTTCTCATCAGTTGTTTTGACTGAACAGAGGCTACCAACTTTCATCATTATGCTTACAACTGTAACTCTTTTTATTTTACAAATCGTTTCTAAAAAGCCACCAACACAGAGTCTGATAATGTTCTTACTCATTTCAGTTTTAAAATCAGTGTTATACTAGCATAGTTGATTTTGATTAAACAGGAGAATCACTCTGCAAGAATGTTGGCTAACTAAATAGAAAAGGTTCAGAAAGAGAATGAGATGAGACAACAGAGCTTGAATGTCTTGAAAAGCAAATATTGCGTGCAGCTGTCTGAGTCATTATCTATTATCATCCCCCTAATCTCCAGACTGGTCATTATCATTCCCTAATCTCCAGACTGGTCACCTGAGCACCAAAGAGGTTGTATTCCCCCCCCCACCCATTGCTCAATGATGGAATTTCAGGACTTCCTAGTTCATCTTTCATGTTTGCGTGCATCAGCCTTAGCTGACTTGTTTCCTGTGACCCATCAGTGAGCTATAAGCAAGCCTATGAGATACAAATGGTGTTGCTATAATTTCTTTTAAAGGACATCTATTTGATTTGCTGCTGATTTTCAGAGATGCAAAGCAAGAGAAAAGAGAGATCAATGACAGATTAAAACATGCATTTAAAATGACCGGAGCAAATAGATGCACAAAACTGCAAGAGGAGGGAGAGAAGGAGAAAAGATATTATAAAAATGTTGAAAGGCCTGGACTAAAAAATAAAGAAGCACTATTTTATCTTTCCACAGTCATATCCCTCATTTCCATGAGTTCTGAATGGGCAGACTGAAGACTAATTTTTTTTAACCTCATAAAAAAATTTTTAGGTACCTTCTTTCACACATGGTGGTTATGCCCAGAATCGAAAAAATATTGGAAAAAAATACAAAACTGGTAACAGGAATTAACCGGTGTCCAAATAGAATACATTCCGGAACAATTGGGGAATAACAAAAAAGAAATACGACAAAAAACAACATATATTATTTTAAATATAATAATGGTGGCAAGGTTAGCCTTTGCACAGTGCTGGAGAAACACAAATACACCCTCGGAAGATTTAATAATTCAAAAAGCCTTGGACTGCGCTGAAATGGACAAGATAACACTTGAGCTGAAAGGATTGGTGGATTTGGAATATTATATAATATGGGAGAAGTGGTATAAATGGATTGAGAATAGGAAAAATAATTAGATAAAAGAGGATTGAATTTAGTTAGAATGTATATAGTATAATTGAAATATAGTAATATGTCATGTAAATGGTCAAAGTTACACACAAACTTTCTTCTTTTTGTATTTTAATTGTTGAAAATCAATAATATATATATATTTAAATGTACAATAGTAATTTACAACCAGCAGTAGACTACATGCTTCTACAACATATTCACACTGGGTATTATTTTGCTGGAATTCTGCTGCTTAAGGATGCAACTCCATGAAGTCAGTTTGTGGTTTTTATTATTATCATAATACATTGCTGTTGCCTTGTTGTACCCCATTTTCTCCATATTTACTGCTCAATCTTATCAGCCACTTTGCTGAGGCAATGACTAATCAGATGTGTCATAATGGACATGCGCAAGCATGTATCTTGTTCCTCTTTTGTGGTGTTTTAGTCACCTTCAGATTTGCCAGATCAAATGGGAGCAATTACGCCTCCGTCTTGGGAAAAAGGAAGGAGCAAAGCCAAGTCTACTTCAGATGGAAAGCCTCTCTATGAGTGGAAGCCACAGAAACTACTACAGAAATAAGTACCAAACATATGCAATCATTTATTTTATTTAACTCTTCCTAATTAAAATATTCAAAAGTGTTTTCACATCAGTTATGAAGCCAAGATCAAACTAGATCAAATTTTTATATTTAAAAGCAACTAGACATTGCTTTCTCACCAGCTAAGTATATATGAGCTATCAGGCATACATATTATGGGGATTGTTGACATTGTTAGGGAATGGGAAAACTCAGAAGTTAGTCTGAGAATGTGGTAGCTTTTTACCAGCAGAACATTGTACCAATATCATTATTCCCAGCTACTTGGAACACACATCTTTATGGAGAAAAATCTCATACCCTTTTTCTGGAGTCATGTGTAGAATTGGTTATGTGAAGCCTGCATAATTAGACAGGGCCTGGTGGGTCAGCAGACTGATAGCATTATGATTAACACCAGCTGTCTGCAATTACTGTAAATTCGAATCTCACCAGGCTCAAGGTTGACTCAGCCTTCCATCCTTTCTAAGGTAGGTAAATTGAGGACAGTTTGTGGGGGAAATAAGCTGACTTTGTATAAATATACAAAAGTATGAAGGCTATTGCTTAATGCATTGTAAGCCGCCCTGAGTCTCCGGAGAAGGGCGGCATATAAATCAAATTAAATAATAATAATAATAATAATAATAATAATAATAATAATAATAATAATACTTTATGTTACACTCTTGATGGTAAGTGTCTGGGGATTAAATTATAAAATAGAACAGAATAACAGAGTTGGAAGGGACCTTGGAGGTCTTCTAGTCCAACCCCCTGCCCAGGCCGGAAACCTTACACCACTTCAGACAAATGGTATTTATATATTTTCTTTTGGCTCTGAAGATTGTGCTGATGTTGTAAATTTATGAGAGGATGTATGTTTGTATGTATGTATGTTTGTTTGAAAAAGCCACAGAAAGTGTTCACATTCATCTCAGGTTGTTAAGTAACAGGCCTTGGTATCACAGCATAGTGATTAGAGTACTCGAACAGATCAGAATTTAAAGCTAGAATCTTACACCAGTCACAATAGATTTACATATATTAAGCCATAATGAATGGAATTGAATTAAACTGAATACTTTTATTTGGCTAAGTGTGATTATACACACAAGGAATTTGTCCCTTGTGCAAAATCTCTCAGTGTACATACAAGCAACAGAGTAGTAATAACAACAACAACTTTATTGTCATTGTATGTGTATACACAGTATACCCATACAACGAAATTCACTTAACATCCAAAGACCAGGTCCAACACACATAACAATCCCCAAACACACCCCCACCCACCAAAAATTCCCCACCCCTAAACCACTCAAACATCTATACAACAGACCAAGTAATGCTGTCCAACAGCTCACTGATGGTGGCCCTATAGTTCATTCTTGAGTGCAATAATAGCTCTGGGATAAAAACTATTCAGAAAATGTGAGGTCCGAGTTTTAATTGTTCTGTATCTTCTGCCAGAAGGCAACAGTCCAAAAAGATTGTAAGCAGGATGGGAAGAGTCTCTGAGAATGTTATGCAACTTCCTCAAACAGCAAGATTCGAAGATGTCGTCCAGGGCTGGTAGCTGGAGCCCGATGATATTCTGGACAGTTTTAATGATTCTTTGTAGAGCTTTTCTGTCCGCTACAGAGCTGCTCCCATACCATGCAAAAATGCTGTATATGAGGACACTCTCAATGGTGCTGCAATAGTAGTAGTATTATAATATCACTAAGAAGTGGGGACCTGGAAAGATTATAAGAAAGCTAAATAATAATAACAACAACATATTTACATAATATGTAAATTTTAATCTGTTTTTAAATTATTGGGGTATTTTAATTTGTCTGGGCCAAAAAGTTTAATTTGATTTTATCGGGTTTTTAAATTTTGTGTATTTATGTATTTTATTGTTGGCTGTTCACCGCCCTGAGTCCTTCGGGAGTAGGGCGGTATACAAATCAAATAAAACCTAAACCTAAACCTAAACATAGCCATACTACACGGTAAATACACATAGGCATTAGACAGAACTGTGAAAATTAAGTGCTCAGCAGAGTGATGGCCCAAGGGGAAAAAACTATCCCTGTGTCTAGTTGTTTTGGCCTGCAATGCTCTGTAGCACTGGAATGTGCTATATTGTTGTTCAATGAACTGGGACTCCAGTAAATAATGATTTAGCACTTAGTATAATTCCAGAAATATTTACTATCCAGTCCTTGAAGATGAGGAGACCCACATATACTGTAAATCCCATTTAGTCATGAAATTCACTGGATGAACTTTAGTTGGTCAGTTCAGTACTACCCAGCCTAACTTAACATATAGGTTGGGATGAGCATACAGAGGGAAAGCAGGCAAGATAGCCACCTATGCTATTTGGAATTCTAAATGTAATAGATAAATAAGTAACAATTCTAAAAAGAACAGATAATAATTATTAAAAGTTCTAATCATTCTAGAAGTCCTTTTACGGTAAGTAAAAATAACATTATTGAGGGTTTCTGTACATGTCACCATTTATCTAAACATCTTTATCATGAGTGTTACACATTTTCCTAAAATAGCAATGTCCTGGGTGGGGGGAGGGGTGTACGCTGAGTAACATCCACACATTCTTCTGCACCCACCCTTCTTCCGTATCTGATGAGACATATATTCATGATCTGCCAATGTGAATCTTGCTTTCTGAGCCCTGTTTTGAAGAAACCAAAAGCAGGTTTAGGTACAATATTATAGAGGTTTGTGGAAAGCTTCCAAAGAGGGTTTCGTTTTTGCATAGCTCCGAATGAAGCCCATCCTCAAAGCGGCTTGCCAAATAATGCAGCTGCTTTTTAGTGGTTGAAAGTGAAATAAAATGGGGGAAGTGACTAGGCTGAGTCTGCTCTGATTGTCTCCCTAGCACTTCCAATCGCCAGCAGAGATTTCTGCACACAGGCACAGAAACCTCCTCTGTGTACTCAGACATGCCCAGGGTGTCTGTAGAGGAGATTAAAAAAATCAAAATGATGGCTGTGATTGGATGATCAAAGCTCTATCATTGACATAACACATTTAAAATGGGGTGGGGCTTTGAACATGCAGTTAGAGTTATTACTGTGACTTTTTTGCCCTCCCCTGCAGACACTTGACTTCTGCTTTAACAGAGGGACTGCTGAAGGAGACTTTCAGACGAGATGAACAGCATGGCAAATTATCTTAGCCTGAAGTCATTACTATAGGAGATGATCAGGCTGAGACCGAGGAAGGGGTCAAAGGCGTCATCAGTCATGAGATCTAAGTCCAGCCCACCATGAATGCCTTATTTACTGCCAAATTGCTTTAACTGTTAGTAGTTCAGATGCTTGTAGAGAGCTTAAGCTTGCAATAAATCTTTATACCCATTTGAGCTTCCTGGATCTCCTGATTTCCTCAGCGCTTGACAATTAGAAGGCTAATCATGCTGCTTTGTGATGTGAGCAAAACCTGCACACTTCCCCCCACCCCCTTATGCTTTTTATCTTAACTGGAGCTCTTTCAACATACTCACTTTATATTGGTTTCTGATTTTAATGTGCAGAAAATAAGGAAAGTCGCTTATAAAAGAAGGAGCATATAAGATAGCCACCATTTGCGAAACTGCATGTCATAAAAGCCATATCATAAAAATATAAAGTGATTAAAATAAAAGTAGTTTAGGAAAAAATATAATAAAACAGCAAGACAATAATTACAATTGGCATGGAGAAAAACAAGCTTTACCAACTCAAATTTAGGATTGAAACAACTTCATGAGTTTCTACTAGCAAGAAATTTTAAATTCACTCATACACACTATACATTCAGTGACTCCTATCAATTTTTGCTTCATATTTATAGAAATTATCTCCTGAGAGTGCCTTCTCCGATAAGTCAAGTCTGATCAGCTATCTGGCAAGAACCAGATTGTTGACTTCCTGGTTTTAACAGCAAACTGAAAGCAATTTATTCATTTCTGTAAAGATTCTCAGTCATCCATGTCATGGTTGTCCTAAAGGTACTTTTTTCAGGAGGCAACTGCACTTTTGTTTTTTCTTTTGAAGACATTTTGCTTCTCATCCAAGAAGCTTCTTCAGCTCTTTCCATTTTCCACTATCTTGTCAGAACTGAAGAAGTTTCTTGGATAAGAAGCGAAACATCTTCAAAAGAAAAAAACAAAAAAGTCCAATTGCCTCCTGAAAAAAGCACCTTTGGGACAATTTATTCATTTATTCACTAAGAGCAAGGACAAAACTTCATTGGTTCCTCTGTCTTCCCAGGAACCTGGTTAAGATTACTGATAAAAGAACAAATCTCCTTAAAATTAAGAATTTACCAGTGCAGGAAGCCAGAGAATTAAAAGGAAGTGGGGTAAGAATGCTTCATCATTTTCATCTGCACAGTTTTTTGGAAAAGGTGAAATGCAAATGGTATTAATACCAACAAAAAAAAGTTGTTTTTAAGAGAAACACAGTGGTGAATGTGTATAATGGTAGTGTGTACATGTGAAATTTCTCCTCAAATGTGAAAAGGAAGTATATGAATCACCTCCATCTGTACCATAATAGACTTCATATTGTTCCCATCTTTTCCTCTAAAATTGTGTTTCTGAAACTTGGTAACTTTAAAATGTGTGGATCTCAGCTCCAAGAATTCTCAGAATTGTGGATGGGGAATTCTGGGAGTTGAAGTCCATACATCTCAAAGTTGTCAAGTTTGAAAATACTGCTTTCAAAGGATGGATTTTAACATCTGAATACTATAACCCTCTCGTATTCCTGATAGGCAATCTTAATTCCCTTTCACTTGTTTATTCTTTCGTGCCAGCATGTTATTTGCACCTGCCCAATAAGCATAGCCATGAACTTTAATCTGTCTCTCTTTTGATCACAAGGAGAAACAGTTGATAATGTTATCTTGTTGGGAAAGAACCATTCTTAGCAATATGCTTCCTTATTCTGGTATTATTGAAGTGTTATGAAAAGACTGCATTTGATTTCAGTAAAAGAAATTGCAGAGATATTTCTATAACATACACTAGGTTATAACCTGAAGATTCCTCGTTTGTTTGTATCACATATTGGTATACTATTAGGATAAGACTCTTAACCCTTACCTTCTAACCTATAGTGACTTGTCATTTGCAATATGTTGCAGGCAAATTGCAGGTGAGTAAGCATACTTTTATTGTGGCAGCTTATTTCATACTGTGTGCTTTTCACAGATGATTTATTCATTATCCAGCTGAATTACAGTTGCCGGCATTTTCTAATATATCAAACAAAAAACAAATAAATAGGCTGCTATGCTTTTAATTTGAAAAATAAAATATTTTTAAAAAATATTTTCACATGCCATTCTTTGCACTTCCTTCTTAAGCAAGTCTAAATCAATTGGGAAAGGAAGGAAGGAAGGAGGGAAGGAAGGAAGGAAGGAAGGAAGGAAGGAAGGAAGGAAGGAAGGAAGGAAGGAAGGAAGGAAGGAAAGATGTGAGTTAAATGTGGATGTTTATTTCACAAAAAGTGTAGTGAAAGGATTAGGTTTTCCCATCTCATTGCAAACGGGTAGTAAAGATAAGTAGAACCTACCCCTGTGGTGTGCCGATTGCAAACACAGAACATACAAATTGACTCTGACGTCAAATAAGAAGAGAAAGAGATGGAGTCATGCTTTTATTTTAATGAAAGTAAATCACTCTGTCATGGATCAGCCACACCATGGATCTCCAGCATTATATTGAACCAGCATTATGCAGTGATTAAAGTGTTGGATAAGGAAAAGGGGAAATCCAAGTTCAGGCCACCCTCAGCAACTGGAAGCTAATCAGGTGAATCACAATATCTCATCTACCCCTGCTTAGGGATATTTTTTTTGTTGTGGGGGGGGGTGGGGAGGAGAAAAATTGTCTGCAATGGCATCATGATACTGATTTAAGCACTGCCTTAAAGGAAGGAAAGAAGTGCCCAAGAATAACAATTTATTGAGCAAAATTCATTAAATTATAAGCAGGCTGGCAGTATGTTATAGTTCTTGACTTATTTCTATCCGCCCACTTCTCCTCCCAGCATCTTCTGAACTCAAATTGCTTCTAAAGGCACCTTTAATAAAATGAACCAGTTTACTGCTTGATCACTCCAAGTATTTCTTAAAAATTAAACTATTTATATTGATTCATAACAATAAAGAGCAAACCACTATCTGGCAACCCCATCCAGGGGACTATTCAGAAATCAGTGTTTTTCTTCTCCAAAAAGAAGTTTAAGGAACTGATGGTAGGAGGAACAAACAAACAACAAAAAAAAGAGAAGGCCAAATATTTAAAAAAAGTTTGAAGTCATTGTTAAGGAGAAGAACGCAGACTGAAAACACTTGTAATTTGTAGGTGTTGCAGATATCAGGTTGCAACTAGCCTGCAATTTCTTGTCGCCTGGGGTGCGCGACACACACACTTCTAAAATAAAGGTGGGGACAGGCTGATTTAGTAGCTAACTACAGAGTAGGTGGGAGACTGCCGCTTCAGGGCCTGACCCAGGGTTCCCCTTGCCTGCCACTCCTTGCTACATGACTTCGATCAATCCGATTGCAATGGTTTAGAGCAGTGGTTCTCAACCTTCCTAATGCCGCGACCCTTTAATACAGTTCCTCATGTTGTGGTGACCCCCAACCATAAAATTATTCCTAAGACCATTGAAAATATGTGTTTTCCTATGGTCTTAGGCGACCCCTGTGAAAGGGTTGTTCGACCCCCAAAGGGGTCGCGACCCACAGGTTGAGAACCACTGGTTTAGAGCCTCCCTATTTCTGGGCTGCAAAAATCCGGGCTGCCCCTAGCTTGTCCGGGTTTTCTATACCTCTTTGCTGCTAGGTTTTGCTATCTACCTACCTACCTACCTACCTACCTACTCAGGAGGAAGGTCACTGTTGCTGCAGCTCCTGAGTCCGGCATCATTTCGGCAGCGGCTGGAGAAAGAACAACCGAGAGACTTAAAGGAAGCTTTGCTGCTCCCATGCAGTCGTCTGGATTTTTGTAGTTCTGATTCTGGGGTGCCTGAAAGAGGTTTTCAGGCGACCAGGTTTTGGAACGGAGGCTTCTAAGTAAGAAAGGGATAAACATCCACCCCACGCCCGCCCACCCAACCCCGGGTATGCTGTATTTTGAAGGAGTTGCTCAGGGGGAAGAAGCAGCCGCTGCGGACCTCCACCCTTTCACCTGCCTGACTTAGTTGCTGAAATTGAGGGGTGTGGGGGGAGGGGGGTTGTCCCCGTTCCTCACCACAGAGGGGCTTCTCTGAGAGGATACTGTGATGCCCATAGAGTTGCGCTTGTGCAGTTCGGTGGGTGTAGATTTGGGATCTGTTACCATTCTGGAACAGGGGTCTCCAACCTTGGCAACTTTAAGCCTGGCAGACTTCAACTCCCAGAATTCCTCAGCAAAGTTGGCTGAGGAATTCTGGGAGTTGAAGTCCGCCAGGCTTAAAGTTGCCAAGATTGGAGACCCCTGTTCTGGACGAACATACTCCTCTGTATTTCACATTTCGGATTTCCAACCTTGGTGGCGCTTTCCTCCTCCTGTTTAACTCTTTCTTGAAAGTGAAACCCTCATACTGGTACAGTACTATATCCGATTGGGAAACAGTATTAGCAGAAGCTCACTACTTCATCTCCCGATAAACCTTCTTGGTTTTCCGTCAAAGTCCTCAGATCTAGTTGATCTCCTTCTACCTAAGTAAAAAACAAACAAAAAAACAGCCAGAACATTGCAGCTATTTTGGGGTGGGGTGGGAGTCTTACTCCAGGATTTTTAAGATAGTGATATTTTTTTACAATTATAGTCTGTTGGGAATGTGACTAATGCAACTCAGAAGGCTGGTGAAAGAAAGTCATGGGTAGCTGCTCTGATCACATGAATGAAGCTTTTTAATGTGTTGCACTGATTAAAAAGGGGTGGGGCTTCTATTATAAGATGTGGCTGCCCTTTTGACTTTTTTTATTTTAATTCTCTCCCCCCCCCCCCCCATCCCATCAGACATCCCTGGGATATGTCAAACACAGAGTGCAGAAATGGATTTCAGAGCAGTTCTTTCTTGACTCTTTGTGTTTTAAAATCTGCCTAGGGCCTGCTGCTGAAATGTTCCCAGGTTTGCAATTAGCAGAGTCCTCTGGATACATGACTAAACAAGCAGGGCCACCACCTGCTTGGCTGGAGCTGGTTTGCCAGGCAACAGCCTTCAACTTGCTGTAGCAGGAAAGAGGATGCTCCTTATCTTGATTTTGTCTCTTAGCAGGACAAGTTGAGACTCCACATTTGCCTAGACTGCATTGGCAACACCAGTCACTTTGTTCTGAGTCAGATCATTAATTTACTAGCCCAGCAGTCTGTGTGGGAGCAGCTCTGAGGCCTCAAGCAGAGGTTTTCACCATGACTGCAACCTTCTGGCAAGATGGTGGTGACTGAATCTGGGTTGTTGAGTTGTACCAGGTTTTCTGGTATGAAATTGATGTCTTCTACATGAGTTGAATTACACCTTCCATTGTCTCCGGCTAAGGCATGCTGTATCATTTTAACTTCCAAATTCTCCTTAATTTATATTATTAAATGAATATTCCCATTTGAATTAAAGGAGAAGAAAGAGAGACTGTCCCTCAGAATGAATTTGTGATTACTTGAAAACCCCAGTATCCCAGTTCAAAAGAAATCAAAGATTATAATGCAATTGCTTATTGAAGTTAAGCAAATCTGGGGAGTATGTGATTGAGAGGCCATGTGGCTAACCAGTAACTATATTCATACAACACTTTGAACTAGACTTTTTTCCCCCTGCTTTAGTGTAATGTGTAAAACCAATGTTTTTCATTAGTGTATTATTATTTTTTGTCTGTTATTGAGTCATTATTGACTCCTGGCAATTGCCTGGACTTAATACCTGCAGTTTTCTTGGCATGATTTCAGAAATGATTTGCCATTGTCTTCTTCTTAGGACTGAGAGAGAGTGACTGGCCCAAGGTCACCAAGGCTTTGCTTGAGGCACAACTAGAACTTACAGTATCCTGGTTTCTAGCTTGGTGCCTTAACCACTATCCCAAATTGGGGCTCTACGATTCAATGTATTATGTGAATTTAAACATTAAAAACATTAATATAAGAACCAAGTTAAAGAAGTAGTTCAGAAACAGATAATTAGTAATGTATGATTTTGTCCTCTTGCTGAAGCAAAGCCAGGATTTTTTAAAGGTAGTAAATACTGTAGATATTCCAACTATCTATTGGTTAGAAAGGAGTGAATAGAAATTACTCTTTGCATTCTCAGTTGGAAAGTTATTTGCTGATGAAAGGGAAGGACTCTCCCTTATCTGATATCCTGGTCCTCTTGTTTGTGTTTCTGCAGAACCTACCAAGTAAAGGCATAAACAGCCACCACCTAATCTAAGATGAGAGGCACAAACCACTTGCAACACTACTAAGATTCTGTGGCTCTTTAGCTTAAATGGAGTAAGTTGTGTCTCCCTTCCTTCCGTTTAATTCAGCCCTGATTCATGCACAAAGGAACCATTGCCTGTGTGCATTGAGTCATCCTTTCTAAGGAAAGTTTGCTCAGTTTCCCTTTTACCACTTTGACATCTAGTGGGCAAGTTGGGAATTATGCAAAACACTTCCCTGGTGTTACCAGTGATTTTTGCATGTGTCACAGGGACCAAGATCAAGATGGTTTTTTTATCTTCCTACTTCAGTGATGTAATGCAAACTTCGTTGATCGGGAAGTATCCTGAATAAAAAAGGCAGGTAGGTTAAAGTACATAGAAGGTTAAGACAGCCATTCAGGATTTTTTTAAAAAAAAAAAATTTGCATTTAATATGTCTGAGACATATTAAATGGCAGTTTTTATGAAATATTGAAATAACTGACAGAAAACTCAGGGAAGAACAGTAACCGAGCCTCCCTGCACATGCACATATTATCCTTTTCCTCCCTTTCCCTGGTTTGCCCTTTTTTGATCATTTATGTCAATAGTATTAAAGTATTGTATTATGTCAATAGTATTAAAGTATTGTCAATATCACAGTAGCAGAGAATTATAGAGCTAAAAACCTGAAATAATTATTGGGATTGCATTTTTAATATCTAGTTTTATTGTCATAGATGAAAAGTGTCACTTTATCTGTTTATTTTACATGTGGAAATATATTTTATTTGGGACTGCCATCTATACATAGCACCCAGGACTTGGTTTTAAAGCCTATATAACTGCCTTTAATTCTTTAATTCTTTTCTTTATTTCAGTTCTGGTTTTGAACATCTCATTCCAATAACCACAGAAAAAGATACTGTTTTCCATTTTCAAAAGTAGATACTTGCTGATAATGATGGCAGAAGGAAATGTACCAATGAAGAGAGATGTTAGCAAACGTATTTCTAAAAGCTGGCAAGAAGTAGGTATTTGTCTTTCAGACTTTAATGGATGACTTTTCTGCCAAAATATAGGATATAGCAGAACTGTTCCTCCCAGCAAATTCACTAAAAGCTCTCCTATAATCATTGCCATCTGTCCCAGAGGAATATGTGGCACATTACTTCATACCAACTATTTGTAATAAAGACAGAGAAGGTAGACCTCTTTGAAATAAAATATCTCCTTCCTTGGCTGCTGATACTTTTTTCTGGATGGCATGACTATAGAATTGTTAGATCCAAAGAACATTGCCATATCTTAAAACCCTTGAAGACGTTTGGCATCTGTCATTGCCATCACCCTTGCTTGCTGAAGCCCTGATCAATTGTAGCAGATTTTGGTTAGAACAGGTATCAAAACTATGACAAAATGCATTGCATATATTTTTTTTAATTTTGATTTATATGCCACCCTTCTCCGGAGACTCAGGGCGGCTTACAATGCGTTAAGCAATAGCCTTCATACTTTTGTATATTTTATACAAAGTCAGCTTATTGCCCCCACAAACCGGGTCCTCATTTTACTTATCTTAGAAAGGATGGAAGGCTGAGTCAACCTTGAGCCTGGTGAGAATTGAACTTGCAGTAATTGCAGGCAGCTGGAAGATAAATACTACCTTTAACAGTAGCATTAGTTTATTAAAATCTTATGAATCAACAGACACTGTAATTTATTCTGCTCAGTGGTGAAATCCAATTTTTTTTACTACCGGTTCTGTGGGTGTGGCTTGGTGGGTGTGGCAGGGGAAGGATACTGCAAAATCTCCATTCCCACCTCACTCTGGGGCCAACCAGAGGTGATATTTGCCGGTTCTCTGAACTGCTCAAAATTTCTAGATTCTGCTCTAGAATCTGTCAGAACCTGCTGGATTTCACCCCTGATTCTACTTCTTTCTCTTCAATGGAGAGAAAATGAGAGGGTTAAAATAGAGGATAAAACTTTTAGAGAATACCATGAATAAAGTAGGTTGATCATACAATAAAAGTCTCACTTAAAACCATACAGGTAGTCCTCAATTTACAACAATTCATTTAGTGACAGTTTAAAGTTACAACACTGAAAAAAGTGACTTACCGTTTTTCACACTTACGACTGTTTTAGCATCCCCATGGTCACATGATCAAAATTCAGACTTTTGGCAACTGGCATATATTTATAATGGTTGCAGTGTCCCGGGGTCATGTGATCACTTTTTCTGACCTTCTAACAAGCAAAATCAATGGGGAAGCCAGATTCAATTATCAACCATGTTACTAACTTAAGAACTGCAGTGATTTACATAGCCACTGTGGCAAGAAAAATTGTGAAATGGGGCAAAACTTACTTAACAAGTGTCGCTTAGTGACATAAATTGTGGTCATAAGTTGATTACTAACTGCGTTTTGAATCCTGTTGCAGCTAAATCAGATGAGTGTTTCATCAGCTGTTTTTGTTTAAAGCCACTAAGCTTTCCTTTTGCTGCTTTCTGCTGTTTTAGTTAGAATTGGGTACAGGAATGTAAAAATTCATATATTATCCCTAAAAAATGGTTAGACCTGACTGGTAAAATCCAATTTTTTTTATTACCGGTTCTGTGGGTGTGGCTTGATGGGCATGGCAGGGGAAGGATACTGCAAAATCTCCATTCCCACCCCACTCCAGAGGAAGGATACTGCAAAATCTCCATTCCCACCCCACACCAAGGGACGGATACTGCAAAATCTCCATTCCCACCCCACTCTGGGGCTAGCCAGAGGTGATATTTGCTGGTTCTCCTAACTACACAAAATTTCCACTACCAGTTCTCCGAACTGCTCAAAATTTCCGCTACTGGTTCTCTAGAACCTGTCAGAACCTGCTGGATTTCATCCCTGCCTGACTGGTATTTGAATAGGAAACCTCCTGGATAACTCTTAAGGCAGGGAATTTAAAAAATCTTGCAGAAAAAAGCCACACCAAACCATTTCAGTACTGCTGATCATGAAGTCATCAGAAGTCAAGCTCAACTTGAAGGTCTCTTTATTCTCTTTACCTTGAACCCTGATTCTCAAGATGGACCTTTAACTCTGATAATCCAATAAAAGTTTCATGTTCTCAACAGTGGGAGAATCAGAAAGGTCAAAGGTGTTTCCATGCTGAAAAATAATGGCGAGTAGGGAAAGAAATGGACATCCAATCCTGAACCAGTAGAAAGTGGAAGTGTTAGCTCTGTGTTTGATGACTTCCATTCCATTGATGAGAGTTGCTGTTTCTTACCTCCTTGCAGACTTCAAAATTCTACCAAGAGCCTTGGTAGTACAGGGGTTTAAGGCACCCTGTTATTAAGCTGGTTATTAAGACCAGCTGCCTGCAATTACTGCAGGGTTCGAATCTCGCCAAGGCTCAAGGTTGACTCAGCCTTCCATCCTTTCTAAGGTAGGTAAATTGAGGACCCAGTTGTGGGGGCAATAAGCTGACTTTGTATAAATATACAAAAGGATGAAGGCTATTGCTGAGCACATTGTAAGCTGCCCTGAGTCTTCGGAGAAGGGCGGCATATAAATCAAAAATTTTTTAAAAAAATTGATCTCAAGCTTTGCCAAATATTCTAGGAATATCTATAGCAGTGTTTCTCAACCTTGGAAGTTTGAAGATGGGTGGACTTCAACTCCTGCTGGCTGGGGGATTCTGGGATTCTGGGAGTTGAAGTCCACCCATCTTCAAGCTTCCAAGGTTGAGAAACACTGATCTATAGGAAGGAAGGGTGATACAGAAGAAGAAAAAAATGGCCTGTTAGGTATGTACTGATGGAAGAACCCCAGATAAATCTAAGTATCTTAACAGCATAACATTTTATAGGTATATAAAATTGCAACAATCTTTCTCTTTTTGTCTCCATCTTTTCTTGGCTATTACTTCTAAATCAACCTTTCTGTCAGGTGCAAACAATGAGATCCTAACATGAAGAGTTCAATTAGCTGTTTTATTGCTTAAATCTATACACAGGATTCTTTTCTGACTATTTGTATCTGGGTCAGACAAGATAAGGTTCAGTGGCATTCAAGGGGGTGTGTGGAGTCAGACTTCACCCACTTGTACCCGCGTAGGAATTCTAGACTAATTTCCCATTTGACTCCTCCCCTGGTTTGGTCAGTCTTTCTCCAACACTTCTTCCATCTATCATTCTTAGTTGTGTTCAATTTAATTCTAACCAATATGTTAAAAGGGCATTAATTTGGCAAGTAATGCAATTGGGTCAGCTACATCTGAAAAGCAGTAACTTTGGTTGATTTCTTTTACACAACATGGCACAGCTGCAAGAAATCTTTTTAATATGAATCATGATTTGGAAGTATAATATTCCTTTTTTTTTTTACATCATCTCTCTACCCTTTCAGTTGCTTTTGACAAGACTAAGCCTCAGGGCAAGAAATGTTTTGTTTTAATTGATCTAAAAAGGCCTTTCTGGTGTTTCTAATTAGAAAGCAGATATGTCAACTTTAAATAAAATAAATACTGCATGTAATAACTTAAATGTCAATGTTATTTTCCATGTGAATTCAATTTCACAAGCAGTAGAAATTCCAGAGATAGCTGAAGTACTGGAGACCGGGTAGCTTTGTAACGTCCTTAGTTTACAAATATCTAAATGGAGCAGAAAGTAGAAATCTGTAAAGCAGTGTCAATCATCCAATCACCCAATTTGCAGCATATGTTTGGAGAAACTTATCTGAAATAAGATAGTCTCAAATTATTCTGTTTATAGTACAGATTTAAAGGAGAGAATTAAATTAAATAGGATCTCATATATATACATATATACCCATGATCTGTTGATTATTTCTGTTGGTGTTTCTTTTGCCATTCCAGTAAGTTCAACTGGCCAGACAATTATATTATCTACTCCACTGCAACACCTTTCTATAATTTCCCCAAAGTAATGAAAAGCCCCTTCTAGTATCACCTAGGCATTGCTGAAACTATATTGCTTCATTACTATTATATCAGCACAATTATGATTGGGTGAAAGATTCTTCTGCACTAAAACTCAAGTGCAAAAATGGCCCAAATCGAGATTTTTACTTATCTTTATTTTTCAACATTTATCTTTTATCTGTTGTCAAGATTCAACATTAGATATGACTTTTGTATCTGCTGAGCCATTGACGGAAAGGTCAAAAAGTTCCCGTAATAAGTCACAAAGCAGAATATTCTATTCTCTGTATTCCTAAAGTTCTATAAAACTCAGTATGAATAGCATTGTACTGTCTAAAGGTGATGAAAAGCAGTACTGTAATTGCTAATATATGTTTGAATGATGTCTGAGGCTGGAGATAAATTTCTACAACTGTAGCCAGGGACACTTTCTGAATAATGTGCATTAGACTTCCTTGTGTGAGCATGACCCTCTTCTTCCTCACCGCAACCGAGGCCTGCTGTAGAAAGGTCTTTCATTTTGTTCTCATCAAACCTACCACAAGCAGACAAAACCTCCGCTGCTGACCTCGGGAAGGAATGCAAGCTCTTGTATTAAAAACTAGTGAGTTGTAGCGGCCTCCCAAGGCCTGTTGGAATGTTGATGCTTTCTCCTTTTGTGTGGTTTTTCCTTTCTCCCTTTGCTGATTTTGCAGGTGTGAACATGAGGTGTGGGCAAACAGACAGAATATTTTTAAAAATCCCAAGCTTCACAGAATGGGAATGCAAAGTATGGAGACTATTTGGATTAGTATGGTTGTTGTGACTACTTGTCCTCTTTCCTCAGTGAAATAATATTGGGGGAATTTCACTGAAATAACCTGAGCATACTCAACAATGAAAACTTAAGAAAAAGAGGAAGACCCAACCTTCCCAGAGCTGGATAACAATTGTTCGATAATAAATATCGAACAAAATGTTATAAAAGAGCATGAACATATTAATGTTCTTCCAAACTCTTCATTTGATGAGGTGTTCTAAAATAGAGAAGTTGTGGGGGGGAGCAATTTCCCTAAATTAGAGAAGACACATCAGTCAGATTTGCAGTTCAATGACTGTCCCAAGATGGAATTAGTGAACTGAATTTATTATTTATTAGGAGCACAAAAGTCATTCATTGTTAGCTTACACTTAGCTTTTGGAGGCAAAGAAAATGTTTGCTATTCCTAACAATTCAACACAGAGCCTTTAATCTTGCATCTATTGCTTCTTATAAATTGCCTTGCACAGAAATCTGAACCTCTGGATTTCCCCTGCC